CTGTCCTGGCCGCTGCTTGTGTCGTCGGCTGCCGGAACGGGACGCGTCAGGGCCGCCCCCCTCTCCTCATCCTCATCTGCATTTTCGTCTTACCTGGAAATGACGGGTGAGAACGGTCCAGCAGTAGTATTGTTTACTGGCTCTGTTGCTACGATTTCGTTGGCAGTTTTCTCAGGATTGTTTCACGGAGGTGCTATGTCGTCGTGTTGCGATTTCCAGTTCCTCCCTCCAGACATTGCAGGGGCCGCCCCCCAGGACGCAAGCACCGAGATCAGCAAGGCGCCCTTTGCGCGCGCGCGCCTGCCCCGGCCGTGTCCTCGCGCGGCGCCACTCGACGTCGCCATTTTTCAGGAGTGAAAGAAACACACAGACACAATTTATCGTCGATTCCCCCCAAAAATTGGGAAAATGTGGGGAGTGGGGGGGAAGACAAAAACCGAGAAAATAGCGGAACATATGGGGAACATTTTAATTTGTGTTTATTTATTTGTGTGCCCTGGGGCAACAGAAGTCATGGCGCCAGCATCGCAGAGCGGATGTTGTTCGGAAAACAAAAGCATGGGCCCGGAGTGTCCTGGGGAGTGTCGTCCTGGACTGCGAAGTGAGTTTCGTGATTTCCTTGGCCAGGAATGCGGACAGAAATCCAGGCGAAATGCACTTCGTCTTCCGCTCGCCTTTGTTGGGTTTTGCATGGACAAATGCACGCAGAAGTCCGCTACAGCACGTTTACACGGTCGGTGCAGTTTCTAAATCCGATGTCTGGGAGGCAGGATCGGCTCTCCAAGGCATTCAGTTCTTTCCCGCGCTCTTGTCGAGGCTGGAACCGGTCAGGGGCATGCTGCCCTCTCCGAGAGGAAGGGGTCTTGCGGTGGTTTCTTCGCCCTTTGCCCGCGCCCCTCATGCCGTATCCGGGCGACCTGGGCCGACACAGGCAGGTCAGGATGAAGAGCTCCAGCCGTTGCCAGAAGTGGTCCTGGCCCAAGGTGTCCCACGCTTGGCGCACCGCTTCTTACGGAGCCCCGTGGGCCCGCCGGACCTCGAGACGGGGTGCCCTGGATGCAACAGGGGGTGGCTTCTTGGGGATCCTTGAGGCGTTTCGGGCCTGGGACACACCGGCAACCCACGAGGGCTGCCCTTGGGAAAGGCTCTGGTGTCCAGGATGATCCGATTCCACAAGGGCCCTTTTCCCTCATGCCAAGGGGGTGGCGGGGGATAGGTGGGACGAGGGGGGAGGGGACGAAGACGGGGGGACAATCGGAAGAGAAGGAGGCAGTCAGAGAGGTAGCAGATGCGGGAGGGAGTGGAGGAAGAAGAGGAGGAGGAGGAATAAATGGGAGGAGGAAGTGGGAGTAGAGGAGGCGGAAGAGGGGGCAGCAAGCAGAGGAGGAGGTGGGGGAGAATGGGCGAAGGAGAGGATGACGTGGAGCACGGTGGGCGCATCCAACAGATACTCGGCCAGCCAGGGGGTGCCACACGGCAGTTTCTTATCTCCCCATGGGGCACCCTGCGAAGCCCAGAGTCGAGGACAGGCGTACCCCCGGTTGCCTTAGAGCAAGACTTCCCAGCGCATGTGCCGACTGGTGGGCAGCAGAAGCTGGAGAGGGCGCTCTGCGCAGCGGGGCCGGCGTGCACAGGGACCGCCAGGCCAGGGCGCCAGGGCGCCGAGCGCACCGCACCGCCAGCCGTGACCGCGCCGCCGTGCTGCCAGCGCGGCAGTCTAGACACAGGACTGCTTACGATCTCACGGTGGGACCGAGGCATCAGAGCGAGGTCGGTTCGGGGAGGGTGCCCATACCCCTACCCTTCCTTCCTCGCTTTCGCTCTGTGGGGTCGCCTGGGAGGCCCTCGTCGCCACAGCTGGATTCGCCTCGAAATCCTGGTCAGAACGCACCCCAGGAGAGGTCCAGGGAGAAGCGGTATCGGTACGTACGGACCGACGTGTAAGGACGAGGTCGGTTCGGGGAGGGTTCCCTAATGTTATTTGTGTCTGTTGGATGTTCCTTTGCATCCTGGGGGCCTGGGGGAGGGTACCCTCGAGTGATCTGATGGTCTGGAGTATTTTTGTTGTCTGGCGGAGGGTCTCGTGTTCTTGAAGGAGGTCATTCTGTCCTAGGTCTTGCTTTTCTATGCTCACACACATGTAAAAACTGGACTCCCGCTGTAATGGACACGCTTATGTATTGTTGAACATCACGTTCCCTCTCCGTCTCGTTTTCCAGCAGCAGGAGCCGAGGAGGGGGGTGATGAGCATTGGCGTCAAGACGAGGGGAGAGGGAGTAGCAGGAGGAGCAGGAGGGGGAGGAGGATCAGGCGGCGCCGCCCCTGGCGCGCTCCGCGCGCCAGGGCGGGGCGGTACAGTGGCGATCCGAGAACTCCGTGGCGAACATCCCCGGAAGTGTATGTGCATGCAGCTCGCTCGTCTTCCGCAGTCGAAGCCGATGGTGAGGATAGGTACCCAAACGTACCCTGGCGAGGTAACTCAGAAGCCGGGCGAAGGCTGGCAAATCCGTGGCTGCTGAAACGGAGCTCCGGGAAGTTGTTATTTTTCCTTCCTGGAAGCATCCTGGTTATTATTTAGTGCGCTGAGCTTTATTCCGGGAGTGTGTTTTTTTTCTTCCGGGAAGACCGTTTTAGCAGCCACGGATTTTCCAGCCTTCGCTCAGCTTCCGAGTAACCTTCCCAAGGGTGTACCTTTCCCAAGGGTGCAGTCGATATAGGCAACCTTACCCAGGGTACCCTGGCAGCCGTGCCTCTCTGGTGCATCCTGAACCCTCTCGACGGCTCGCCGCGCTCGAGCACAAGCTTAACACGGGCGTCCAAGGGTCGTGCATCTTTGTCGCGCATCCCCGCCGCAGCTGCTCGAACCAGACTTAAGTCGGGCGCGTCCCTCTGCAGGGTGAATATTCAAAAATAGTCAAACAAAAATAGTCTGGGGACGATGTTTCTTTGATTTTTGGAGCATTTGGGATTTTTGTTTGACTATTTTTCATGTTTCGCAAGCTCCGCCTATAGGGGGACACGCCCGACCTAGAGCCAGACCCCGTGCGCGGTGCTGCGGCCTCAGCACCGCGGTAGAGAGCGGCAGACCGGCGCAGCAGATTTCGTTCAACGTGAGACTCGTTTTGGCCCCCAGCCCCCCTCATCCTCCTCGCGTGGGCAGGGCCCAATTCGATTCGATCGATACTCACCACCCACCAAACCACCCCAAACCAACCCGAAGGCTCAAATTTACCCTCGATTTCCAGTGTGGGGGGGGGTCGGGAAACATCGAAAAGACACATGTGGAACCCTTACCCCCCCCCAACCCGAAATTCGGGTCTTCGGGTTGGGTTGGGTTGGGGTGGCCTGGTAGGTAGTCAGATACGGCTCAACGTCGAGTCCGCCGGTCTCGGGCCGAGTCGATTTCGACTGCCCAACGCTCCGATGCGGCCTGGCGCATGCGCACCGCAGTTGGGCGCCCGGGCGCCGCCGATTCGCCGTCGATTCCGAACAGGTGAGGTCCGATTCGAGGTTCGCTCCGACCCGTCAAAGATGGACAGCAAACCCACAAACATGAATACTCCGGATTCCATAATAAAGTGGGGGGATCACATTCGGGGGGGGGTCTAGTTTGAGCTGTCTTGGAGGGTTCGGAGGGGGTCTGGGCAAAGGGCCGCCCTTTCATGGATGGTCCGGGGGGCTCTGAAACTTCTCGTCTGGGAGGGTTGTGACCCCCTCCCTTTTATTACGAAATCTGGAGTACTCGGTGTTCTGCTCGGAGCCCTGGAGTCGGCGCTGGACCCCCCTTTCCTTGGGGCCCAGTGCCGGTCCAAGGCATGCGCGTGGACCTGCAGCACAGGGCTCCCGGGCATGAGGCGTTGCTGCTGCGCTCCGCGGGCAGGCCGGCGGGCCCCCACCCGCCCTCGGTGCCGCACTCGCTCCCGCTAGCGGTTTTCGCCAGACGTTCTCGCCGCCGGCCCCGCGCCCCGCGTGCCGCGCGGAGGTCGGCGACAACATCAAGGGCTTCTTCGGGAACATGCGCTGAGGAGGGGCACCGTGGGCGGTGTCCGCCCCTCGTGCTCCTCCTCTTCCTCCTCCTCCTCCTCCCCCTCCTCCTCCTCCTCCTTCTCCTCCTCCTTCTCCTCCTCCTCCTCCTCCTCACCCTCCTCCTCCTCCTCCTCCTCCTCCTCCTCCTCCTCCTCCTCCTCCTCCTCCTCTCGCCCTCCTCCTCCTCCTCTCGCCCTCCTCCTCCTCCCATGCCGTGTTGTGTTGGTCCTGCTCCCGCCTCGGGGCCTGCGCGACGAGAGGCTCGGCACGCGGCGCGCCCCCATGCCACCCGTCAGTCCCCCCATCCCTCTCGGGAGGGGGAAGACACACACACACACACAGACACAAGTCGCCATCGACTCCCTCCCCCTCCTCCTCCTCCCCCTCCCCTCCTCCTCCTCCTCCTCCTCCTCCTCCTCCTCCTCCTCCCCTCCCTCCTCATCCCCCTCCCCCTCCTCCTCCCCCTCCTCCTCCTCCCCCTCCTTCTCCTCCTCCTCCTCCTCCTCCTCCTCCTCCTCCTCCCATACCGGGAGGGGGAAAACATACACATACACAGACACGAGTCGCCATCGACTCCCAGTGGAAGGTGGGAAAATACTTACCAGCCTGGAACATATCCGTATCCCTATGATGGGCACCTCCTCATCACGATGCCAATCTTGGGGAGTCCCTTATTCTTTGAGGGCGAATTCCTGAGATTGTCATCGCCTTTTGGCGTGTCAATCTTAGGGATAGGGATACGTTCGAGGCTGGTAAAATATTGGAAGTGGGGGGGGACGACGAACATCGCGAAGAGATGAAGAAAACAGCTATGGGGGATCCTGGAACTTGTGTGTATTTGTTTGTTCGTCCCGGGCCCCCGTCGTCATCCTCCCCCCCCCCGCCCCCTCCTCCCCGTCGATGCTGGCGTTGTGGTTGACGTCAGCGATGGTGCCCTCATTGGTTGCCAGATCCGGAAGAGGGAAACGGGAGCCGGAGCGTGAAGCCAGAGTCGGAGCAAAGGGAGCAAGAGTCGGAGGAATGTGTTCTGAAGTCGATTGCGCGCTGTTCGGTGGCGTGGTGCACCTCGCCCTCATCGTCGTCCTCGTAGGCGCCCCGAGAACGGGCGTACTCAGGGGGCACATCCTTGAGCAGCGTAACCCTCTACCAATCCCACTGCCACAACCACGCCCAGTATCACCACCTCCCTCACTGCCGCTACCACCCCCACCACCATCACTACCACTAATGAACTGATGATACGATCACCATGTGCACCACCAGGACTGCAGCTTCACCCGAGGATGGGCTGGCATTCCCAGGATCATGCCCTCGGTGAATAGAGGGCGATGCATGGTATGCATCACTTCGGACTTACGTGCTACGCGGTGTCCTCCATGACGGATTCGAGCAACACATCGGTATTCAAGTTTAGTGCGGCACCTCGGTTCACGGAGTCGGGTACCGTGTCAGTATCCTGCTCTACATGATCGAGCGTTAACATGTAGGATACCATGACAGAGCCGTTCACCACGTCGGTAGCCAGCACTACGAGATCGGGTGCCACCACGGTGACCACCACAAGGGAGTTGAGCACCGCATCATTGACCGATACACCTACATTGATCGTTTGGCCGTTGTCTCTCACGACTAAGATGTATCGAGCAATGCGCCATTACCATCTGGATGATGCGTGGAGAGGTGGTGTCTTACGGGGTGTTGGCAGAGCCACTCAAAAGAACATCATGCTCATCACGAGCGGCCTCGTCCTTTGAGGGCCGCTGCTGCCATTGCCCGGCTGAGAGGCTGCGGCTCTCACCCTCCTCCCTCTCCTCCGCCTCCCCCGTTCATCGATACGACTGCAGTCTGTGTTTCATGTTGTGCCTCGTCGATCTGTACGACCATCCTTGTTTTGGGGGGTTTTCTCGATCTGATCCCCCAAGCTGTGCCTCCTCGCACAGTTTGGGGGATCAGATCGAGAAAACCCCCTTTCTGGGGCTTGCCGATCCACTTGGGATTGCCAATCCTCCGGGGATTTGCCCATCTTCTGGGTACTGCCGATCCTCTGGGGCTTGCCGGTCCACTTGGGATTGCCAATCCTCTGCCACGCTGTGCCTCCTCGATCAGTCTTTTGCTCGTCTCGTGCCTCCTCGCTGCGCGAGGGCCGCACGTGTGTCGCTGCGCCTCCTCTCGCCCTGCCCTGGGCAGCCGCGGGCCCCGGGCTGCGGCCGTCGACGCCCGCGGAGTTGTCGCATCAGTTCAAGGCGGGCGTGCCCCCCTCCTCCCCCCTCCTCCTCCTCCTCCCTCCTCCTCCTCCTCCTCCTCCTCCTCCTCCTCCTCCTCCTCCTCCTCCCCCCTCCTCCTCCTCGTCCTCCTCCTCCTCCTCCTCCTCCTCCTCCTCCTCCCCCTCCCCTCCCCCTCCCCTCGTCCTCGCCCCCCTCGTGGGTGGCGGCGTGCGCAAGCGGGTGGCGCGGGGGGGGCGCCAGAGTCATCCCCCTTGGCCCCCCTTCGTGGGAGGCCACGGGGATGATCCAGAAATGGTCAAACCAGTCGTCGGGGGACGATGTTTCGAGAGTATGTTTTTGTTTGGCAGCTGTTGCGGCTGGTTTCTGCGTGTTCTGCAAGTTTCCTCCCAAAGCGGGCGTGCCCCTTCTACACGGGGATGGTCCAGAAATGGTCGAACCAGTCGTCGGGGGACGATGTTTCGAGAGTATGTTTTTGTTTGGCAGCTGTTGCGGCTGGTTTCTGCGTATTCTGCAAGCTTCTTCCCAAAGCGGGCGTGCCCCTTCTGCACGGGGATGATCCAGAAATTGTCAAACCAGTCGTCGGGGGACGATGTTTCGAGTATGGTTTTGTTTGCAACTGCTGCGTCCGGTTTTTGCGTGTTCTTCAAGTTTCCTCCCAAATCCGCCTGCAGGAGGACAGGCCCGACCTAATACTAGTTCTCACGGTGCCTTGACTGATCCTTTGTCAATCAGTTCGCCTGATTTCGATGTTCTTGTCTGTCTTACGCTGGTCACTGCAGTTTGTGTTTCCGTCTCTACGCGTAGTGTGCCCGAGGACTCGTGGAGTTTGGTGGTTGTGAAGATGCCTTCTCCTTTCCCTCCTTCTCTCTCTCCTCCCCCCGCTTTCGATTTGCTTCTGTCCGTGAGGATTACGGTGTGAGCGCCGTTGGCAAAGCCCCCCGTAGGCGTACGCACGCGCGGACTCCTCTTCTTGCGCTCGCGCGGGACAGTTAACGGATGTCTCCAGTGAAGTCTTGCGTCGCGTACGTTTGCACGAGTGGTGGCCCTGTCATTGCTCTTCCTTGCTTCGCGTTTTGCCTTTTGTTTCGCTCGGCTCGTGATGCTAACGGCCAGCGCGCGAGTTCCCTGGTCCAGCAATGATCATATCCAAAAACCCTTCTCCACGTGCAAGAATACAGGCCTCCCACATGGGGTTAGAGCAGATGGGGTCGGAGGATCGCGCCGAATGGCCGATGCATCGACGATGTGGCTCGATGTGGAGCTAGATCTTCTCCACGCCGATGGTGCCGAAGCATGGCCGACACCGACTATGTATCACCGATGCATCTCCGATGTATCACTGAGGCATAGGCGATGCATCATTAGCGATGCGGCGCGACCCTCCGACCCCATCTGCCCGGACCCCATCTCCCAGGAGGGAAGAACACACACAGACACAATTAATCGTCGATTCCCCGGAAAATATGGGAAAGTATAGGAAGTGGAAGGGAAGAACAGAAAACATGAAAATATTGAAAAATATGGGGACTCCTGTCATTTGTGTGTATTTATTGGTGTGTTTGTGGGCCCTTTCAATGTCGGAGGTCTCCAGGGAAGCGGAAAGCCCTCGTCTCCGCGCAGACCTGGCATCCCTCGGGCTTGCCTTTTTTGTTCCCCAGCAAGGAGCGTGGAGGAACGTCCCAGACCCTCTGGCAGAGAGAGAAGCACGCACGAGGCCAGAACAGTGCAACGGGAACAGGACGTCAGGGCGACGACAAGATCCAGACCTCCGACGTAGAGTCGGCCCATATTAGTAGGTCGACCCTGCCAAATCAAGGGTACCCTCGTGCCCTGCGTTTTGCGACCCATGCCTTCTGCATTCATGTGGCAATGTGGCCCTCGGCAGGGTCTTGTGTCCTTTCGCTTATTCTCTTCAATTAAGCTCGACTGTAGATGGGGTCGGAGCACATGGGGTCGGAGGATCGCGCCGCGTCGCCGGTGCATCGCCGATGCGGCTCGATGCGGAGCCCGATCTTCTTCACGCAGACGTCGCAAATGCTTCGTCGACGTCGCCTACACATCGCCGATGCATCGCCGATGCAGCGCGATCCTCCGACCACATCTACTCCGACCCCAGCTTGGAGGGTCTCCTCTCCGAAGAGCTTAGGCGACCCGTCCTCCTCCTACTCGTTTTCCTCGACCCCCTCCTCCTCCTCCCCCTCCTCCTCCTCCTCCTCCTCCTCCTCCTCCTCCCCCTCCTCCTCCTCCCCTCCCCTCCTCCCCTCCTCCTCCTCCCCCTCCTCCTCCCCCCCGCCTCCTCCTCCTCCCCCCTCCTCCTCCCCCTCCTCCGCCTCCTCCTCCCCCTCCTCCTCGGGTCGCCTACGGCCCCGGGGGAAACCGTGCACCCCAGCCGGGGAGGCCTCTGCAGGAGCAGCAGAGGCCGGCCCCCCCTGAAGGAGCAGAAGCCTGGGCCCCCGCACCCAGCTCAGGCCTGGGCTCCCCGGATGGTCTCGGAGGTTGCCCGGAGGCCTCATCCTCTCGGCACGATCGGCAGATGTGAAATCAAGCAATGGTCAACCAATTACTCTGGGGACGATTCGTTTGATCATCCTTTGACAATTTGCAGTTTGTTTCTGACCATTTTTGTTTTTTCGTCAAAAAATCCGCCCGTAGGAGGACACGCCCGACCTAACCTTGGCTCCCTGGGTAGTCTCGGGGGGGGCCCGGAGGCCTCCTCCTCTCGTCACGATCGGCAGATGGTCTAGACTTCAGTCGGGCCTGTCCCTCTACAGGAAGAATATTCAAAGATAGTTAAAACATAGTCACGATTTCTTTTGTATGTTTGACCATTCGGGGGTATTTTTGGAGGTATTTTTTAAATTTGTCGCCCAAAATCCCCCTGTAGGAGGACATGCCCGACTTCAGTCTGGGCCTCGTAGATGGGGTCCGAATTGGTGGGGCCGAAGGATCGCTCCGCATCCCCGATGCATCGGCGATGCGGCTCGATGTGGAGCCCGATTTGCTTCACGTCGACGATGCCGATGCACCCCCGACGTCGACGATGCATCGCCAGTGCATCGCCAATACGTCGCCGATACATCGCCGATGTATCGGCGATGCGGCGCGATCCTCCGACCCCATCTACTCCGACCCCATCTAGGAGGCCTCTAGATGAGCACTCAGGGTTAAGTCGGACATGTCCCTCTACAGGAGGAATTTCCACGACGTTTTGAGTATGTTCGAACATGGTTTGGCTATGTTTTATTGAATCGCTTCGCTCATTCCGCCAGCCCTGGAGCCCTCTTTAGGGCCTCTTGGGGGCCTCTTGGGGACCTCTTGAGAGTCTCTTGGGGCTCCTTGGCGGCGTCTTGGGGGCCCCCAGGGCCTCTTGGGGGGGGGGCTTTGGGGGGCCTCTTGGGGCGGGAGCGGGGGTAGTCGATTGCGGCTCCCCCCTCGGAGACCACGATCCTCGTGAGAGGTGTCGAAAAATGGCCCTCTCCTGGAGTGTTCTGGGGGCTTCTCCCGGGACATTGCCCGGGTACTTTTCGTCCGGGGGCCCGCAGGTGCCGCTCCGCGCGCGCGAACTAGAAATATTGTTAAGCAGTTCCCGGAGATCTTAGCACGCCTCTGGCCCGTTGGGCCGGCGATTTTTTCCTCCGAAATCCCCCTGTAGGAGGACATGCCCGACCTCACGCTACGATCGACAGATGGGTAGGGAAAGAGTGGGTATGTGTCATAGAGCCCCGTATTTTTGCACGCGCGAGGACTAGCAGCATTCCCTGCTCACGTTTGGCTACCAGCATGCCCTACTCATTTTTGAACAGGACTCGTTGTGATGATGACGATGCCCACGACGATGACGATTACATCATTGGACAAACGGCATAAACAAAGCTGTTTGGCGTTCCGCGCGGATTTCTTGTATCTGCGCTGGGCCCCCTGACGGCGCCTCCAGCGCCGCCCTTGGCGCGCTCCCCGCGCCAGGGAGGGGGGTCCAGGTCGGATCCAAGAAATCAGCGCGGACCATCGAAAGTTAATGGCATGCTGTTCTTTGTTCCTCTAAGCATTCCCTGCCCATTTTTGAACAGGACTCGCTGTGTTCATCTTGAACAGGGCTCGTTGTGATGATGGCGATGCCGCCGATGACGACGATGACATCATTGTCATAGTCACCGTCATTGGCGAAGACATCATTGTCATCGCCATCGACATCGGTATCGTCGTCGGCGTCGCCGTGGACGGTGTCCATCTGAGACAGACGGCCGCCTGCACGGCAGCTGACGCTGTCGATTTTGGGCAACATGGGTTGTTGGGCGTCGTGCCCAATTCTACCGTACCCATTTCGGGCGTCCAAGCCTTCCAGATTTCACGGGGGGGCATCGGGGAAATCTCAGACCTCGAGGGACGGATCGAGAGAGCCTGAGTTGGGTACGAATCCATGGAGGACGGTTCGCTGTCGGTGTCGGGGCGAGCGTCGGTGGTTCTACAGCGATCGTCCAGGCCACCCGAGGGGGCGCGACGATGAGCGAGTGTCGCGCATCGTGGCCTGGGTTGGAGTGGAGCCCGCCTTCCGAGCGGCAGTGCCAAGGCGCGACGACGACCGCGCGTCGCGCCTCGCGGGGCGCAGGGTGCGAAGCCAGGTGGCCCGGGAGCGTCGTCTGCCCATCGGCACTCGCGGCCAGTCTCGGGCAGCGTCTGCTGCGAGGCGCCGCCTCGCGCATGCTGCGTCCCCGCCGCGGGCGTGCCGACCTGCTCCGCCGCATGGCCTCCACCCTGCGCACCAGGCGGAGGGCCGCTGCGGATGCGTCCCTCCTCCAGCATGCGGCATCGCCGTCGTCATCGTCATCCCCCGTGCAGTCAGATCGCATAGCTTATGATGTTCAAACCTGCTGTAGTCTTGACCACCAGAAAGAACTTCGAGCACCGAACAAGTACCGAAAATTGAGGGTTCTCGTGTCGGGCCCTGGGAGACACTCGTCCGACACTCTTTCGACACTCTTTCGACACTTTTCCGGGTGCTCGAAATTGTTTCTGGGATGTGGCCCTTAAGCGCGATGGGAGCAACATAACGCATAGTGAGGATTCTGAGGATGCGCGACTTTCCAAGGTTGCCCCTTGCATCCTCCCACTTCGACCCACCCTTTGCCGCCTTTCGCTGGCCGCGCCCCGCTCGCAGGGTGTCGGCATGGCCTTCCAAGGCCCCTGCGTACCCATCTTGCGTCGTGCTTATACGGGTTCGCTGTACCCATCGGTCGTTGAAAGTAGATACCTTCGCATTCCCAGATTCCACTCTACCTTACGTTCACCATGATCGAGCGGCGCCACACTCCCCGTCTTCCTCAGGGGGCGGAACGAGAGCCCACTCTGCTTCCCGCGCCCTCCGACTTCTGCGTGCCCGCCTGCTTCCCCCGAGCGATGGGGCAGCCCCATCTGCCCTCCGCTGCCGGGGAGGGAGCGCCGGCGCCGCGACCTCCCGAGGACGAGCACGCGCCCCGCCGGGGCGAGAGAGGGCCCCCGGTGCGTCCGCGGAGAGCGCGGCAGCTCCGTCCCTGGCGGCGGGGGGGGGTCCGCCTCGAGGGGGAGCGCGTGCGCTCGGGGGCGTGCCGCTGCCAGGAGCGGCCACCGTCAGCCACGCGCAGAGGGGGGCGGGGGGCGGAGGGGGAGGAGGAGGAGGAGGAGGAGGAGGAGGAGGAGGAGGAGGAGGAGGAGGAGGAGGAGGAAAGGGGAGGAGGAGGAGGCGAGGAGGAGGAGGAGGAGGAGGAGGAGGAGGAGGAGGAGAATCGAGGAGGAGGAGGGAGGGTGAGGGGAGGGGGGAGGGCTTCTCAGAAGCACCCCTTTGCGTCTCAGAAGGCGCGGACCTGATCTATAGATGTAAGGCCGGCGCCTTCAAGCAGCCTCCTTCCAAGAAGCCCTCCCCCCTCCCTCCCCCCCTTTGTGCGCGACGCCAACACCGTGTGCGGGAGGGTTTGGGGGCCCTCGACGCCCGCCCCCCGGCTTGGACTTCCGAGTTGGGATCCGCTCTCTCACTGGAGGCCCGCCAGCCTGCCGATTTCCACCGATTCGACCTCTCCCGTCTCGGCTGCCGGTTCCCGCCGATCCGATTCGTGCCGATCGCCGATCCGACTTCTCGATCCGATTTTGGGCCCTCCTGCCCTGCTGCTCCTGGGCTCCTCCTACGCTGGCCACGCGCAGAGGGGGCAGGAGGCAGGGGTACACGCCGGTCGCTGAAAGTCGGTATTTTTTGGATTCCCAGATTTCAATCTGCTTCAA